GTACCTGTGATATCATGAGGTTTCCATCTTGTAGCACCTTGACTCTGTCTCCATCTACTATCACATCTTCATCATCTTTGCTCCAGGTGACGGTGGGCTCTGGGTAACCTCTGGGGGGTTGACATTCTAACACCACAGGCTCACCCCCTTCTACCTCAGTGGGTACTGGCTCCCGCCGAAAATCATCCTTGATATCTGCAAATGTATTGTTACATTATCAAGATGCAAGTATAACCAAATTTAAGTATAATATGTCTTGTTTGCACATTCTGTCAATCTCATTTACATGTAACCCACCAAGGCAATTTACATGAAGACTCGCAGTTTGAACAGTACATATACCACACTGTACATGTACGTGACCACTCGTACATGCACCGGTATGTCAGACAACAACACTGGGTTTGAGAGCAGATGATGCAGAGTACCGGTACATACTTGTACACGTATATACAGAATTTTTTTTCTGCCCCTGAATGAAAATGAACCTGCAATGTCTTTGTGGAATCTGGATGCACATCAGCATGGCATTCCAGTGAAACCATCTCTCACTTGTAATCAGTGAGGAGGTACACCACACTACATGTACATACATGTATACCGGTACATGTGCACTGTACTTGGGACTACAGAACCAACAAGTCTATCCACCCGAGCACAACTACAACCTCAATGGTAAAGAAAAAATACGCTGGTGGGAAGATTTTCAACTGGGCTCAAGTACAGTTGTGAAGACTTTATTAAACGAAAATTCGTCACACATGCTTGAAGTGTCCATTCTAAGCATACATGTACATGTATGTAGATTCAATCTATGCATGAGTGCAGTAAGTTCCCACCCAAGGTCTGTTGTTTCTATACATGTACATGAAAATATGCATTGAACAGATAGAGGTATCTCCTCTCCCTCAATGCCCATTTAGTAATTCCACAATTTGAAAGAATTTTCAATGATCTTAGCTATGTTAATTTGCTAAATGTCATAGAGCGCTATGTATTGATACATGTAAGTCAGCTGCCAAGCTGAAATGAGGTGTGGATCCAAACGCAAAATGAGATGTGCATATCAGTGCTACACATTTATGCAATTTCAGCTGGCAACATGGCTGTTAAGCATCTGTATGGACATGTACTTTCCACACTTCACAACCTCTCAACTTGGCCCCTGATTTTCACACATGGCGCAGAGTAACCAAAATAATAACACATAACCAGAAGCCAAGCACATTGTGTGTACCAGGTTACTTGGCTATTAATTTCAAGATAGCCAAGCTGAAAGGTAGGGGTAGTTTCAGGTGTGTATTGACTTTCAGGAGAAATTAAACAGCTGTCATAACAACAACAAACCAATCTGTCATGCTGTCAGGCCAACCACTCACAGAAACGTAGGACACATACATGCAAACCCATCTTATTTGCAGTGTCTTGACAAATGAAGCCTGATCTGATGGAAACTGTTGGATTCAATCAAGCCTGATGTTCTTCATCAGACCCAACACTGACTAGAGAGTATTTCTAATCAATAAGCTGGCATTCTTCATTTTCAGGTTGTGTTACATTCTACTTGTCAGTAAAGTTGCACATCAGATTGGGTTGATGCTTCCACTGATCTGAGCCCATTCTCATGAAGGTGCACTAGTGCTCTGAAGAGGTCACTTGTACAGTTGTAAATGCATTTGCTTAGTGGAGAACCAAAGGAATGAATGTAGGGCTGAATCCATTCAAATAATTCACTATTCGAATATAAAGTTATTTGGCTATCCAAATATTCAGCTGTACCAACCGGCAGATTGTTGATAAACAAACCATATACAAAATCAGTTGCAATGATACACACTTTTGTACATGCGATCAATATAATAGCTTCTCACATCTAGGAGTATCTCCAGCCAAGATTTCAGAGATGAACAAGACTTATAGCCCTGTTGAAAACTTCTATTCCTTTTAAATTGTGTAACGAATAATTGACTTTTCTAATCATTGTAAGATTTCTAAAGCTTTTCATTAGAATCTGCTTGAAACATTCAAATATTCACTTTGAAAAATAAAATTCAAATATTCAACAATCGATTAAAATATTCAGAACAACCCTAAATGAGTGTGTGGCAGGTACCGGTAACCTGTTCTTGCAAAACAACTATTCTTTATATCAAATGAATTTACATACACTAAGCTCTCAGTCAAGTACATGTTTCAGGGAACAGATGGTACATGTAATTTTGAGGCAATCAAATTTTGAATTAAACAAGGCTCTTGATTTTTCTGCACTGTACATGTACATGATTAAAATCAAAAAGCCCCATGTACTGGTACATTAACAGACAGTGTTTGATTTCCCCTGTATCCCAATCGCATTTTGCGATGCAATATCAACCAAATGTCTGCGCACTTTGTAACATAAATCACACATTGTGTGATGTAAAAAGCACACGCCTTCATGCTGTAATATGCTTGAAACAATGATTTGATTTACACATACAGCAGGGCAGTGTCCTTTGAAATACAAATAAGCAGAAATCAAGTGTACAAGCAGCTGACTTCATTGGTTCCCACACAACAGGTGTTCACTCGGGATAGCCAAAATAGGGAACCAGTAACATGCACTTGCACAAAATGAATGGTGTTGGCTTGCATGGTCAGCTCCGGGTACAATGTGCATGAAATGTGTACAAGTACATAACGGACTTAACAACACGCGGTCATCGTTTCATGTCTCACAGACATTGGGTTAAGTTTTAACTTCTGAACATGTCACATGGAAGTTGAAAGTGGTACAAATATAAAATGAATTAATGGAAGAGTGAAAAACAAGTTCAACTTACACTGGATAGAATTTAAAAAACAGTGATGGATGTTTTGTTTTGGGCTACCATTACATGTACATGTACCGTACACGTTTGGGAAGAGCAATGTAAAGCAGAGTGCATCCTGTGCCACCAGACTGTACATACCAGGAATTACATGTACATGTATAGAATCCCTTAACATGGCACACTTTGACTTTTACTTGATTTTCCTTGATGTTGCCAAACCCCTTGCTGAAAAAAGTTCACCTTCATTTTGTTGAATACTTGTCCTATAACCTACATAATTCATGCTGTTGAACCTGTGGTCTCATGAAATTTTGTCTGGAATTAAAAAACAGCAGCATCTGGAAATTGAGCAAGAATTCACCTGAGTGTTTCCTGATGTGGCGCACTTAAAAAACTTCCAAAAATCCCATAAAAATATTAAAGAAATTCTCTGAAATCGATAAATTCTGCTAAATATTATCAACTCCACTTACATGTACATGTACTTAACCACAAGTTTGTTTGATGAGGGCGCATTTTAAAAAGTTCATTTTAGACTTCAGAAAAAAAACTAAAAATCAAGCCAAAATAAAATTTCATCAGAACTTTGTAGGTGTGAAATCAAGATTTCTGATTCAGAATATTGGGAATTTGATGCAGTTTCACTTATAATGAAATTTGAGATAAAAAATTTGCTCCGGCAAGGAACTAAAGGTGAAAAGTGCAGAGTGGGCCACAAATAGGGTACATCAACATATCCCTTTGCTAGTAAGCCATTGCCAGCCAAACAAGAAAGCCAACACAAGTGTTCACACTTTTGCAAGTACATGTAAAATAAAGGCTAGATTCTTTTCACAGTACAATTTACAAAAGGGGCAGGATACTCAGGTGTTTTTAGCTGTTGATGTTCATCATGTGCGGCTATTTTTAGTCAGATTCCACGGGCATTTTACCTTTATTTTTAGGTACTTTACACCTACTTAATACTTACAATTTTCCAGCCCTAGACTGAGAACCCACTGCCAACCCTGATTATTTAAGAATGTAATTTTTTGGCTCTGAAAATGATTTGAAAGACTACTGTTGAAGACTTTATTGTTTTATTGTATTTTATTTATAACAATAATAAAAAAGCATTTATAAATTGCACTTAATCTGTAAAACATTCTAAGGCGCCGGTCTAGAGTGGAAAATAAAAACTCAATTTTGTGTTCACGAAGAAAAATAATGTTTTGAGATTTGAGATGCTGCTGAAGATGTTTGTTGTCATGTTCTTGTCTTCAATGATCAGGGAGCGAGTTCCATAAGCGAGTTCCATATTCAGTGATTTTATGCAATTATATTGTGAAAAAACTGCAACACAAAATTAGGCAATTGCTATGCAAACAAAATATCGCCTAGCAGCGTCTGCTATGAAGATATTTTAAGGAAATCCATCACATTACATCTACAGTGTTTCTCCATAACTTGCTCTACCTGGTTGGAGTATTGAATTGGACACATTTTCCTTCTGCTTATTGACTCTGTAATTTCTTTACTGTCAAAAATCCGATTTTTTAAAATACTATTTCATATTGTTCTCATTACAAAGCATCTACTAAATAAATAACAGCCCAGTCAAACATCTTTGACACTGCAGCTGATCTAATCCAAATGTGTAATGTCAAATAGGACAATCAAACCCAAACTGGGATCTACTGGCTTACATACTGTATCCATAACATGTAAAAGTTGGTACCCAGTTACAATCCATCAATCCCTCATCGATAACATTATACACACTCATCACATGATGGCACCCTATCCTTTGTGTTTACTCTCCAATTTTATGATGGAGAACTTGTTTAGAGAGCTTCTTAGCCCAATGATATTCTATGCAATTGATTCTCTTCAGAGATATGCAGATAATGAATGACTTTTACTTCATATAATATGTATGACAAAAGGAAACACCCTTCCTCATTTAGTATTTGTAAATTGTAGAGCATTGACACACTGAACATCTCAACATCTACATGTATCGAGTGAATCAAGCTTGACAAATGGTTTCTTATATTCCTAAGGTGAATATGTGTGAATTCCCAGGACAGTTTAATTTATAATGCTCTTTACAAAGCCCTGGCATCCATTTGCACAGATTGCGACTAATTTGCCTTACTGCAGTGGAGGAGAGACACAAGGCACAGGGGAGTATGATAAGTGTTGTCTCAAGGCAAAAAGCCCAATTGATTTACAGCACTACATGTACACCTCCAGAGGCATATAGAGTGCTTGGAGTAAGGCAAGCTATTACTTCACAGCAGGAAGTCTATTGATTAGCCATAGCAGAGAGACTAAACCAGTCTGCCATCAGGAGAGATACTGTACTTAGACATCTGCAGACTGTTGATGGAATTGTTGCAGGACAGAAACTTCAATTTGACTTGGGTTCTGCCCATATCTGTAAAACCTCCATGCATTTGTTGACTGGAAAAATGTTTTACAACTGTACTAAGTACCCACCAGTACATGTACATGTATTTTGAAATGCTAGGAAACAGGCCAAACTAGATGTACATGTAATTACAGCTAATGTACATGTACACCATGCCTGTCAAAGAGCCCATGAAATTCATATTATGCGATCCGTGTACATGCATGTATTTTAACCCAATTTATATTCTTTTCATTTAACTTTAAATTTAAGGGCATTTTGGTGACCTTCGGGTTTTATGACAATGCAATATTCATGAGGCAAGTGTTACATGTACATATATGTCATTCCATAAGGCAACCTTAAGAGTTATAGTTTATTTCAGCACCAAAATTTCAAGAACCTTTGAAATCGTGATACTCTGAATTTTCTGTAAATTAACCAAAGAGATACATGTACATGAACCAGTAGTAGTAGATTGAACACAATGTGTGTTCACAATGTGTGTTCACAATGTGTGTTCACAATGTGTGTTCCAAAGTGCAATCCATGTTACAGGCCCTTTGAATTAACAGTTTTGAAGTTACTTTGGTTTTAACTACATGTACTAATACTATAGAAAATAAATTCCAAAATAGGCATTTCAATATGGTATGATAGAGATGTACATTAGAACAGACAGAGTTATACAACACTTACAGTTACATGTACATTCCAAGTTCCAGAGTGCACTCAAATGAAAGGATGTAAAGTACATATTCAGAAATCAAGCTTAAGTTACAAACCTGTACATGTACATGTGTTAATGTACAGTACGTCTGTACATGTACATAGGTTAATGTACAGTACGTCTGTACATGTACATAGGTTAATGTACAGTACGTCTGTATATGTACATGTTTGCAAGAAATGCACGAGTGCAAAAGAACTGACTTGAAATGGGTTTCAGTCAGTCTCTCTTATACGGTATTTTCAGCATTTTAATAAACATGCACATGTACATATACCAGTACCTGCTGTCCAACTTTTCAAGCTTAGTTTCAAATACATCCATGCAAGCCATCATCTTGTAAACGTTGTCGGTCACTCTCCTTGGTGGACTAACAAAAAGATGCAACAAGAACTCTGGAAAGTGGTTCTTGCATTTATAAACACTTCCTTTGTTTGCAGTGACTCACAGATACATGAACATGTCTAGACAAGGTACACATTTAACTTACAGTTGGAATGTTTAAATGAATTGTACAATACAAGACAAAGTAAGTCTGATGCTATACTTACAGGTTACTTCCAACGTAGCATTGTTGCTGACAGCTTCTCCAAGGTAGTTGGTGGCAACACATTGATAGGTGCCCACGTCAGCATTGTTTCCTTTACTGTGAATGACACGTAAGAAGAAGAGTTCTCCGGGGTTGAGCATGGAGCGATGCCCATCACCCGATAACAGGTCTAATCTCTCTCCATCCTTCAGCCACTGTACAGGTAGAATTAAATAAAACTTCCATAACAATATGCACAGTCACATTATTCATAACTTCCTGGGAATCTTTTGTGAGAAAATGTGAACATATAGATAATGCAGACATTTATAAGTAATATAGCGGTACATGCAAGTGTCTGCACCTTTATGTGCAAAGTAAGCGCTGCTGGAAGAATATAACCCGAGTGGTCATTCTATGGAACAAAAGTTTGCCCTGTGCAGTGTGACCTTATCTCTTTGAAATTTGAAGGTCATTCTAAGAAACAAGGCAGTCAGCTTGTCCACTATGACATGACTGACTGCATTATGAAAATACATGTCATACAAGTGTACATGTACATGTCCATGCATTCCAAACCAACCATAACATGTATGTATTGGCTTTGGAAACTCTCTTTGAGATTTCACAAACAAATGCTCTTCCAATCTCTTCTGGCTGGAAATAACCAAATACATGTACATGTATATGTTTACTGCCCGGGTTTTGTTTCAGCAATACCATTTCCTATGTCAGGGTTTTGAGTTGCAGTGTACACACACCTTAAGTCTCACGGCATACAGACATGTCTGCCCTTCTTCAGACAAGAACTCTTTAATTCTGCCTAGCAATACTCAACAAACACATCCCCATACCCATATCAAGGTAAAGCCGGCTTCCAAGCTCACCTCACCATAAATCACTTCTTAGCCTCCATTTATTATTCCTTTTTATCAGATCTTGGTGGCAGATTTACTTTTCTCAAAATATCTCTGATGTTTACATAAAGTGAGAATTTCTGGATATATTCAACTACCATGACACCATACAAAAAATTCTACAACATAAATTTGTAATAAATGTACACGGAAAAATAAATGACATGTATATCAGTACAAGTCACTGCTTTCATGAAGGTACATGCTATGTTTCCTTTAAAGACCACCAAAAAGTCCGATTCCTGTTTTAAATAAGTCAGGCAGAGTAGCAGACTCAAAACATGTTGAATATGGTTTAAGAGTGCTTTTAAAACAATGTTTAAACAATGTCAACATTATGAAAGCAGGCATATCACTAAAATAGTTTGGTCATGAGATATCTTTTACATTGTACACAGATTTTAAAGAAAATTATTGCCATTTGCTGAAACTCTGCCATAAAAAGTCTTGAGTTGTTCTCTGAAAATGGTACAAAATGATGATCTAGTGATGAAAAGAGGTGGCATCGCTGCTACGGGTACGGAACTTATAGGAATGGTTTTAATTTTGTTACTCCATGGCAGTGTCCAAAAAGAGCTGCCAAGGGAGCAATGAAAGCATCTTGCTTTGACAATGATGAGAAGCCAAAAAGCCTGTAACCAATGGCAACCTGCTTATATGCTATTGGTAACTCTCACAAGGTCACATTATACACAATATGCCATCATATCCAAACCTCCACACTGCTGGATGCATGCATTCTCTGCATTATCAGGACTGGTGTATATGCATTATCATTTCTACTGCTGTGAATGGGCACACTGTCAATACAGTAATTGTTCATGTAAATAAAAAACATTTGTTCTTGATGCTACTTAATCACAGAATGTTTAAAAAACTGTGAAGGAAGGTGGAGATGAAGTGTATCATTCATTCAGTGGTGTATACTATCATACACATTCAATAAATTAACCAGAACATGGCAGCATCTTAGAATGACTCAGTGACTCAAGCCACAGTCCACATCTTCATTCCTTGTCTTGCCAGTGCAGATCTGGGAAATAATGAGCCTTTTAATGGGGACTTTGAAAAGAAATTCTGTACATGTAGGTGCTGGAGCAACCATTGTGGTCAAGTTAGACCAAGAATATCACTCAGACACATGTGGGTGCTAAAACTTTTTGAATTTGTCTTGTCTTATCACTTTAATATAAAATAGACACTTTTTTATTTACCATACATAGAGAAGGGAGCGAACCCTCTACCCAATATGAATAACAAGGACACCACTTTGTCCTCACAAAAAAGGTCATTTCACTAAAAAAGGGACCTCCAGAATCCAATCTCCCAAGGGGAAACCAGACATACACATAAAACAACCAAGCCAAAACTCTCAAAGGATTAAGACCAACTTAAGGCGTGACAAATACGAAAGAACTTGTGGTCAAAGAATTTATGCTTAAATAACAGAGTTCTTCAAGACTGGAGTAAAACTACCATTAGTAAAAGCCACCTACTAGCATGATTAATGTGCTCAATTAATTCCACACATCTCTGGGAAATAAAACATTGCAACGTTTCTCCCATTTTTCTTAATTTGTCCCTGGCTTTAAAGCAGCAGTCAGCATATAATCAGGTTAAATGCAATGCTGTCAGTTTGAGTCCATCAGAAGTTGAGTCACCGTCTGCCAACTATTCACAAAGAAGCACAAAGATCCCTGTACATTTGAAGAATAATTGAACTGTCTCTGTCCATCTACATGTACATGTACTTACTCAGCGTCCATCAAATAAGATAGTAAATCTTATATCATAGTTTTAAAAATTCACCAGAACTACGGATCTTATCTGATTGTTTCTACATACAGATCCTATGGCTTCTTCATACATCATTTGAAGTTTAACTTGACTTCATTCATTAGCTTGACTTCACTCCGAATGTGAGTAGCACTTATTTCATCACAAATAATCAGTGTGGCATAAAAAATCAAAGTTACCCCCAAAACACATTTTCTTACCCTCCTCAATCCTTCAAAATCCTCTGGGTGGTTTAGGATTGAGGCTACATGGCAAACTTGCATTGCTACCTAAGGATACCATTCGCACTGCGCCTCAACATAATGAGAGGAATTGCTGGAGGATTTTGAAGGATTGAGGCAGTGGACACCCCTCCACAGAACATATTCAAGAACTATTGGAGGATTTGGGGGGACTGAGGCTGTATCCGTTTTTTTTCAAGGGGGGTAGTTGGAGATTTTGAAGAATTAAGGGTTTATCCAAGCCAAAAAAGCCTAGGTGGTTAGGGTTAATAATGGAATTAATAATGTCTTGGCCAGTCTTGAATGTGCATTTAAGGCCGGCTCAGCAGAATGGACGCAGCTAATGCCTGAGCTGCAGGTGAAGGCTTTATCAGCGTTCATTCTCCTGAGCTGGTCTTAAACATTAGTTGAAGACAGACCAAGCACATGTTTATTCTCATTCATAGATACCATTTTTGTCAGAGAGCCAAATGAAGTCAACATAGGCTAAATTTCCAAGAATTTTGTTCAAGAATTTTGCTTTCATTTTCCAAATCACCCTCATGTAGTCTAAAAGAATCTCCTTATATGGACTTAGTGCACGTGTGGTGAGTTCTGCATGCCACGACACACACAGACTCTCGACCAATAGGAATGGATTAAACTGTTTTGTATCCAGGTGCCAGCGCATTTTTACACAGCGGACAATATTAAAATATCCCAGCGGGCATTATGAAATGTTAATACAAGGTTATGTTGCTCATTGTGGAATACGGAAACTGTCTAAGGTAATTATGAATGGCCAATCAACAGCCAAAAATGTACCAATTCTTTTGATCATTCCCCACTTTTGAGGACTGGTCAGTTTAGTTCTTATTATGATCTTGGTAAGACACAATCACATCAGATTACTAAACCCACAGCTGAGAACTTTTAAAATCCACCAAGAGGTTTTTGGAGAAAAAATTAAGTACATGTAAAATCTGTAAATGCATGCATGTTCTGTTTGTGCAAACTGCTACACATACTGTACATGTGCATGTGCATCTTCTAGCTATCAGTTTAAAGGCCACACCTCAGTGACAGCAATCACACAAATCTCATGCATGGGCATTTCTGAACCTACAGTTTGTCTGCTAGCTATGTACAAGAACATCCAGACTTAATCCAGAGTGCAAGAGCAGTGCCAGTAACACACATGAAGAAGCAATTTCCAGAGAGATTATATGTGAACTGTGAAATCAGCAGTGGATGAAAGATAGCATAGGGGCTTTTGAAGCTGGCGACACACAGGCTCTAGTCTCAGGTCAGCTTTGCCTGTCGTCAGTTCATGGGCCCACCTAAGCCAGGTTGCAATTATCATCCACCCGCAAACCAAGCAGCAAAATAGAAATTACACACTGGCGCATGCCAACCGGTTCAACATGTATGTCTCAACAGGCAAGAAAAGTCAGTCAGTCCAGAAAATATCAAGCAGAACAAAAATCTTGGAAGCTACATGTAGCGAAAAGCAAATGAGAGACAAAATGCAATGATCTACAGATACTGCAGGAAATCCATAGACATGTGCATGTAAATAGCAATAGGTGCTGTAGATGTCCACAACCAGTGTGTTACTTATCATCACATCTTCTCTATTTGTCACCAGTGAGAAGGGACTTATTAGCAGTTGTCTTTGTTGAGAAAATTGAAGTAGAGACATTTTCTGTCATGTTTAACCAAACACTGCCATCAGCAACACTTGAATGGGTCGCTTAAGTCTGCAGAAAGTTCATTCTTGGTTAGTAAGAGCTAATGCCTCAACTTCACATTTCCCCCACTGCTGTTAAACGAGGGAATAAATATGTGTTGGACCAATCTTGGGCTCAGGCAATAATCAGCCTTCATGCTCCTGAGCTGGTCTCCTGAGCATTTAAGACCAGCCCAGCACATATTGGTATTTATTCCCATTCATAAATACCTTGTGTAGAATTCAGCAAACTTTGCTGGAATTCTGTACATTAAATTTGTCGTTTTGCAACTTTTTTGAGCATTTTTCCGCATTCAATGTTCACGGGCCACTCCAAACTGACTTGTGTCTGCCTCGACTTGATTTAAAATGGTATGAACTAGATCGGATACCAGACTAAAGTTGTCACTGCCATTGAAAATCCAGAAGAGAATGGGTAATAAATGTAAACACAGCTACAACTCTTTGCAAAACTCAAGATCATTGTATTTCTTAACAAAAGAAAAATTTAATATAGATGAGACTAAAACTGGGAATTCAAATTATAAACTTTTGAAACAACTAAAATCAAA